CCTCTCAGTCAGCGGGCTGGTGACGCCACTCCCACTTTGAAAGATCTCGACTCTGCCCTCGTGTCCACCCCCCACTGCTGCCGCCTCACTTGGCTCCCGGCCATTTGCAGTAGCCTCCTGCCTGCTCTGCCGGCCTCAGCCCTCACCCCTTCCAGTCCGCTCTCCACCCAGTAGCCAGGCGCAAAGCCACACGCATCACTCAATGCCTTCTTATTGCATGGAGAGTAAAATCCATATTTTATTCTGGATTCTTCTGTCCAGCCACGGAAGGGGGTTCGTCTCCGGCAGCCACTTCTCCCCATTGGCTGAGAGAGTTAGCACAGTCTAGATGGCCTGGTCCTGGCCCAAGGCTGGGGGTGTTCCCTGGGGTGGAGCCCTCCCTGGCTGGCCCCTTCTCCCTTTTCTCTCCATTCCAGTCTGCACTGTGGCCAAGGAGCTGTGTGGGTTTTTCCCTCTAAGCCCCCATGCACTGTGTGACCTTGGCCCAGCCTCTGCCCTTCTCTGGGCCAAGTTTCCCAGATAACTGTAGAAAAGGGGCTCCAAGCCTATGTCCTACCAGCTCTGCTCTCCAGGGACTCCTGTTCTGATGCATTTATTCACCACCTACATGGTGCCCGGCACCTGACTTGGTTCAGGTTAGTGGATACCATTGATCTTTCTCTGTGAGCTCAGGGGGAACTTGTCACCAAGTGGCATGAACTAGCAGGTTGCTTTCAGCCTACAGACATTACCTCCCTTCAATCCAGGAGGACCTCTAAGAGGAGGTAAAGGAGTGAGAGATGAATGAAAGCAGAGTCTGGGAAGAAGCTTCTGGTTTAGAGGCCGGAAGCTAAGTGTCTGTCTCTGTGTGTCCCCCACCAACCGCAGGCTTCATCGGTTATGCCCCCAGCCTCAGCAAACTGGTGGCCGAGTGGGATGGCCAGGACGGTGACAGTGACCAGCTCTTTTACACCAAGATCTTCTTGGACCCAGAGAAGAGGGTAAGGGGCGGTGGGTGGGGCTGAGGAACGGGGCAGGGCGGGGGGGATCTTGACGCTGGATCTTGATGCTATAGTGGGAGCAGTGCCCCCTGACTCCGTGGGTTGGGCCCCCACTTATTCATTCGCAGATTCACACAGGTGTTCAGCGGCTATTTATTGAGCGCCTGTTGTATGTGAGACACTGTCAGGTGCAGGGCAGGAATGCGGCTGCGAAGAAGACAGTGGGGGCCTTCACCCTCACGGACACTCAAGTCAGCGAGACAGGAGTTCATAGCCTCCTTTTTGGGGGTGATGGTACTGAAAGGAACTGACAGGCTGAGCTGCCCCTGCCCCACCCTGCCTGGGGGGGGGGGCAGGTTTCTGGGGGCTGAAGAGGTCTTGGCCAGACCTGTGCCATGACCTCCAAGCCTGCCTTAAGGGAGGCAGGGGTCGTCGAAGGGACTGAAGGTGGCAGGTCTGGACCAGTGTCGCCCCAAACTAGCCAGTGTCCTCCGGGCAGGCAGGAAACTCAGAGAGTCCTTGGGTGGAGGGGGTCACGATTCCTGGATTCTTCCCCGCTTGTCCCCATAACCTCCATCCATGCGGTGCTGTGCGACCTAGGGTAAGTCACTTCCCCTCTCTCGGCCTCAGTTTTTATTATCCACGAACTAATGAAATGAAACAGCTGGACTTGTGCGGTAGAAACATGAACTTGATCTTTTTAACTCAGTCTTTCCTCCTCCTTCCCCTTTGCCTCGGGTGACATCATTTGCAGAAGCCCAGGGTCCAAATCATAAAAGTGGACTCTGTGGGAGTCCCCTTCCCTCTCTATGGGATGAGGGCTGAGCCTAGCATGCCACTTGCCTTTGTTGGCCTGGCCTAGGGCTCCATGAGACACAGCTAGATCTTGAAGAGGCAGCCCTGTGCAGTGAACAGGGACCTCAGGGCCGGGCTCCTGGGGTTCAAATGCCAGCTTAACCAATTATTAGCTGTGTGACTTTAGGCAAGTTATCCAACCTCTCTGTGCCCTGTTTTTTAAATTTGTAAAATGTGGTGACGGTGGGACTTTCCCATAAGGATGTTGTTTGGATTGGGGCGCCTGGTTGGCTTAGTCGGTTAAGCGTCCGACTGCGGCTCAGGTCATGATCTCACAGTCCGTGAGTTCGAGCCCCATGTCGGACTCTGTGCTGACAGCTCAGAGCCTG